TCTGAGGAATCTCCAAACTGATTTCCACAGTGGTTTCACCAGTCTGCATTCCCACCAGCAGTGGAGAAGGGTTCCTATTTCTCCACAGCCTCGCCAGCACAGCCATTATGATTTTATCTAACTGATCTGTGGCAGGGAGGTGGAGTGTCATCTTAATTAGCTCTAGGATCCACCTGGAAGCTTGGTAGAGCACACTTCTGTTTCTAGGGAGTCATGGGGTCTGATTTTGGGTACTGTCTGTAGTCCCTGGCTCTTTTCCTGATTTGCATTGTTCCCCTGCTCTGAGCCCCCAGGCATCATGAAATGAGCAGCTTTCCTCTGCCATGTGCTTCCACCATGTTGTTTCTACCTTGAAATTCACTGGTCATGGACTGAATCCCCTTAAAATGTGAACCAAATTAAGTCTCCCCTCCTCTCTACTTTCTTGTAGATAACAATATGTAAAACATAAGTCTCTCCTCCTGTCTACTATCTTGTAGATAACAATATGTAAAACAACAACCATTGATAATTTCCTACCGCTTTGTCTGTAATTTGGTAAGCCCCCCATTACTATGTTATCCTTCTTTTACTCTTTAAAATAATAAAAAAATAAAAGATTTTTAAAAAGCTGTGTAAGAATGTTTATAACGTCACTACTTATAATAACTAAAAGGTGAAACCCAAGTATATATTTTCTAATGAATAATAAATAATAGGATGAGTACTGTCCAACCATGAACAAGAAATGAATTATTGATAGATGCTACAATATAGGTGAAGTTTTCAAACATGCTAAGAGAAAGAAGCTAATCATAGAAGACATATATGATTCCATTCACATGAAATATACAGAATAGGCAGATCCATAAAAACAAATACTTTGCTTACTTTGGTGGTTTCCTAAGGTTGGCAAGATTGCAGAGTGACTGCTAACAGGTACAAGATTTCTTTCTGGAGTAGTGAAAAGGTTCTGTAATTGATTGTAGTAATGGTTGCACAGAATATACTAAAAACCATTGAATTGTACACTTTACATGTATGACCAATATCTCAAAGCTGTTATAAAAGCATATATGCTAAAATTTTAATAAGATTTCATATACATCAATAAATGTCTTGCAGGTCAGCTGTTTAAGAATACAAGAGTACTTCCAAATCCTTTTGGGATCTATTACTATTAACATGTATTTTCTTTTAAATTTTATATTGGAATAAGATTCCTAGTGGTGAGTGAAGTCATTCTAGCAGAAATGGTACATGTTGATATATGTGGTGGTATGCATTGCCTGTGAATATAACTACATCATTAACATTCTTGTTTTATTGGGGAAATTATTCCGGGGGCTAAGATGGACATACATACCTTTCAGAAATGAATAGTTTTTAATCTCTACCAATGAGTAGATAGAACAGTCTAGTTGGCTAATTATATAAAATGATCACAAATAATAGTGAGTTACAGACAAAAGTGGTAGGTTATTATCAATGGTTACTGTACTACACTTTAGCACATTTTTTTCTTTAAAAAAGTAGTGACTATTTAATATTGAGTTCAAAGAGCAGAAATCCTTTGGAAAACTAAAGACATGAAACTTGCTGCCTTTATTACTCACAGTGATAATCTTTGCCATTTATTTCAGCTCCCGTTATTTTCACTGGAAAATGAACCTATGTGTAATTCTGCTGATCCTAGTTTTCATGATACCTTTTTATATTGGCTATTTTTTTGTGAGCAACATCCGACTATTACATAAACAGCGACTGCCTTTTTCCTGTCTCTTATGGTTGACATTTATGTATTTCTTCTGGAAACTGGGAGATCCATTTCCCATTCTCAGCCCAAAACATGGTGAGTATAGGGGAAAATGAGGGAATGAGAAGAGGGCTGGTTAATTTTCTAATTTTGGTACCAGAAGTCTAACAGGGCTTTGCATTTTCCAGGCAAGCACTGTGCTACTGAGCTGTACGTCTGGCCCCTAATTTTGAAAAAAATATTTTTTAAACTTTTGGTTGTGGGAAATACAGCACATTTTTTTCTTTAAAAATGTCCGATTTTAACCAAATTTTCTCCTTCATTCTCAGGGGTTACTAGTTTTGAAATAGACTTCTATCATTCTAGAGGAGTTTCTGACCTTGATTTAGTGAAAACACTTCAAGGGTTTGAGAGACATAGAAAGATGTTCTTAATTTAAATACCCTGATATTACATGCAGAATTATGGGAATATATTTCTATGTACCTTAATCATCTTTCCATTACTATAACAAAATACCTGAGGTAATCACTTAAAAAGAGGAAAAGTTTATTTTGGCTTATAATTTTGAAGGTATTGATACATACATAGTCACTTGGCGTTTTGATTTTGGGCCTGTAATTGGGAAATTTATCATGATGAGGGTGCATAGCAGAGGAAGCAACTCACTCATTAGTTAGGCAGCAAAAAAGGAGAGGCTGTGATCTCTGTTCCTTTCAGAAGCATGCCCACCTTTGAGCAGAAGACTTCCAACTAGACCCCTCTTCTTACAGGATTCACTGCCTCCCTGCAGTGCCAGGACCTGGGGACAAAGCCTTATATATATGGGCCTTTGGGCAACATGTATCCAGATCATAGCTGTATGTTTATTTGGACTTGATGCATTGATAAGCTTTTATCAGATTCCCAAAAGGTAAATGGCTGTTGTTTTAAATGATGACAAATACTGTCGTCAGGGTAGTGTGAATGCCTATAGTCTCAGCTGCTTGGAAGACTTAAGCAGGAGGATTGGGCCAGTAACTAATATAGTTTATTGATGTGGAGACCTCAAAAACCATAAGATGTGGACCTTACTTAAAATGAAGATGATGTCTAGTCAGGTGCATGCAGTTGCACATGCCTGTAATCCCAGCTCTTCAGGAGGCTGAGGCAAGAGGATCCAAAGCTCTTGGCCTTCTGGGCAACTTAGCGAAACTTTGTCTCAAAATTTAAAAAATAGGATAAAAAGGGCTAGGAATGTAGCTCAATGATAGAATGCCCCTGCATTTGATCCCTAACATACACACCAACAAGTCTGGGAAAGTATTGCTTGTGCAATGTCTGAATGTAGCAAAGTTGGGAGGAATTCCAGTGGGAAAATGTAGACTAAGAAAATGTCTAAGTCTAGGATGGACCTATGTGAGCAGATGGCAGCAGTGAGATGGTCTCATAGTCTCCTTGTTCAGCCCTTTGCATTTATAACTGGTAAATGGGCATAATGATACCCAATTCTTCATAGAAGTGCTGACATTAAGTAGATAATGTCTGTAGATTACTTCAAACCACAAAAAGATATTTAATAAGTTATCATGTTAAAGGGAATAAAAGTAGAAGGTGGTTTTTTCAGTTTTTAATATGTAATAACTTGTATTAATCCCCTTAGATTTTTTTTTTGTTATTGAATGATACTATGTAACCATGGTCAACAAATATTGGTTGAACACAAAGATCAACTAGATATGACTCATGAAAACTAAGTGGTATGTGGAAAGTAGCATCAACAGAATTTAGATGAAGATTTATTCACTCATTTCTCATTCCACAGAAGCTGTGGGCATAAACCATGAGCAAAACAAATTTGATTTCTAATTGTTTAGAAAACTTACATGTAAAACTTATAGATTCATGGATGAGACTCATAGATAATAAAGAATAAATAATTGCCAGTTGTAGTGATTGTCATCAAGGAGCAAACAGTCTATTATGGTAGAGAATAATGCACATGAGGCTATCAAATTTAGTGCAAGTGATTAGACTTGACCTATCTGAGGAAGTAATATTTAGACTGAGATCTAATGGAGGGCCCAGCAAGAAGGCACAGGAGACTTTGGTAAAGCCTCAAAATAGAAAAGAAGTTGGCATACTAAAAAGGAGTAAGAAATGGAATGGAGACTACATGTATAGTTTTTTTTTTTTTTTAGTGGCTAGATGGTTGATACTTTTTTGTAAAATAGGCAATGCAAAAGAAGAAATAAGTTCAGGGGAAGATGATTTCAGTTTGGAATATGTTGAATTTGAGTTGCCTCTACACATCTGATAGGCAATTACATACAAAAGTCAAGATCTTAAAGGTACAGAAAGATATATCAGTTCTTATGGAGAAAATTCTTTGAACCTAAAAAATTAGATATCATCAGCTAAATGCTATTGGACAAAGCTGGAAAAATTGGAGAGATCACCCAAGGAAAAATGTGTATACAGCTATGAAAGAGAGAATTCTGGCCATGCTAGGCAAGAGGAGACTAAGAAAAAACAACTAGAGAAGTAAAAGGAAAACCCTGGGGAAATAGTGTTGTAAAAGCCATGAAGGGAAAATAGTTTTAAACAAGAGGATCCAGTGTCATAAAAGAATAAATATGCAAGCACAAGGTTGTGAGTTCGACTCCCGGTACTGGAAAAAAAAAAAAAAAGAATATAAGCAATCCTCACGCAATAGTGGGGGTGGGCCACCGAGCCTGCCTGTTCCCAGACCACCTGGAACAGTGGGGGCCACCCCCATGCCCCTCCAAAAAAGCAAGAGAAAGTCTGGAATGACTAGAAGAAATGGTCCATTGCTATGGATACTGATTCATAGCCTGGAGCAGCCTCCCGTGGTCCAAGTGACAAAAGAGATAGTTTCTTGCTAAAGATACTGCTGCCTCCAGGAAGTTGCCAGTGAGCTTGAAATTTTCCACTGTTAAAACTGTAAGGTCTTGTTGCTATAGACACCCAAGTGTGTGGTCAGAGCACCCATCAATTACAAAAGGAAGGAAGAAGTTGTAAGAGGGAGTTCTTAGTGCTTAATGGCCTCACCTAAAGTGCTCTAGGGAAACTCAGGGTACAGCCTCCAAACTGCCTTATACTGTGGCAAGTCCTGCCGCTGACCGTGATCTCAGTAACCTGGCTTTTCAGAGCTTTGCTTTTATTTCCAAATAATAGTAACTTCATCAAGAAAGAGACAGACAACAGAGGGAGAGAAGGGGAGAATGCTTGGAAAATGTCATTGAATTTCTAAGCAGTAGAAAAATCCTTTACCAAAATGTTGTAAAAGTTAAGAGCCTAAGCTCTGGAACTAGACTTCTTGAATCCTGACTCCACTTACTAGCTGTGTGGCCTTGACTTAGTTATTTAAACTCTCTGTGCTTACATTGCCTGATCTATAAAATTAAGCTTTCAATAAAATCTGCCTCATAAGGTTGTTAAGAGGATTAGATTAGATAGTATATATGAAATGCCTAGAACATAGCAGGTACTTGATTAATGTTACCTATTATATTGCTGGTATGAGTATTAGTGAAAAGCAGTTTCATTCAGTGTAAAAAATGAGATGAAAGCTAGTCGTGGTGGTGCCTACCTGTAACTCGGGCACACTGAAAGCTGAGGCACCTGCCTGGCTTACATATTAAGACCCTGCATCAAAAAGAAGGGGATGAAAGCTGGGTTGCAGTCAGTGGAGGAATGAACTGGAGGTTGAGGAAGAGGGGAGAATTTCTTTCAAGAAGCTTAGCTATTATAGGTAAAATAAACAAGGACTGGTACCTCAGGTAAACGTAAGGCCAAGAACAGGCTTTTTCTAGGAAATAGACTTAAAAGTAGAGAGAAGGAACTGGTGGAAAGACTAAAGATACAAGAAGGCAGGGACAGATGATGGAATAAGATTCTGGAGATGTAAGGATTGAATAAGGTCAACAGCACAAGTAGAGAAGTCTTAGCTTTATTTTGTTTTCTTTTAGTGAGGTTTTATGTTTACTAACAGTAGGAAAAGAGTGAGTTTGGGCCAAGTAAAAGCAGGGAAAAAAGTGTGCAAACTTTAGAGAAAGAAACAAAACATGCCCAAAAGGGCCTTACCTCCTGGCTAGCTCTGCCAAATATGTTACTGGGTTTTGGGTGCTGGAGTCTCCTAGAGGTAGTGTCTAGGTTCTTTCCAGACTGAACACAGAGTCGGTTAAAACGAGCACAAAAGGTAGCAAGGTTTTACATTTATTATAGGTAGGAGAAGAAACATGTTCCACAAACAAGTCTGGGCCAAGTAAAAGTAGGAAAAAAGTACACTGTACAGCACAGAGCAGACTCCTGTGAAAGAGAGAACATGGTAACCCAGAAGTCTTAGTTTTGGTCACCATCTTATTCTGCGGGAATAACTAGGGTGATTGCAGATGTAAGTATGTATACTAGAGTGAAGAAGATATATGTCTAATAGCTTAGGTTTTTTTCTGATAAGGGCATTGGCTAAGAAGAAGGACAAATGGGGAGAAATGGATTAAAGTGTGTGTCTGGGGGGATTGGAGAGAGGTGACTGACCATGGGCAAAATAAGGATTATTCAATAGGGTATGTGCCAGGAGTGGAGATCATATATATGTAATGGCACCAATTCTAACAGGCACCGATTGTGTGGGTAATGCATTCTAGCAATTTTAGGCAGCCCAGGCATGGCCACAGGGGAGCCAGAGCATTTGGTGTATTTGGGGGATTGTAGGATCAGTGCTTCCAAAGGAGGAGAGGGTGAGAGAAGTTGAAGCAAGCAAGCCTGGAGTCCAAGTTAGGGAAGAAGGAGAAAACAAACAATGAGAGCCCAGTGCAACAGATGTAGCAGAACTAAAGGCACAAAGGACTTGAGTAGGAGTGGAGGCTCCTGCTCAGAAATGAGAGATTGGAATTTAAATGTTCAAAACCAACAATACCTGAATGGCAGCTTGGCATTTGGCCATAGGAGTTGATGGGTGAAGTACATTCTATCCTAAAAATAGGAGGTGAAAACTAGCATCTACCTCTGATGCGAGACTTCCTAAGTCATCTTCTGGAGTTGCTTGCTCTCATTTATCCCAGATACATACTGCAGCAGCACTTACTTTAATTGCTGAATTGATTTTCAGCATCCGCAAATGGTAGGAAACAACTGATAATTAGAACACAACTGATAATCTACAATTCATGTATTTGCCTTTGAATTACTCATCCATCTATGCATTGAGCCCATTTATTAGATGCATTGTGTGTTTATTGGATGTAAAAAGCAATAAGGCATAAGCTAAAGAATATAACTGAAAGGGAAACTATATCAGGAGTATCTAGTGCTAAGTATTACTTGTTATCTATGCTTTTCTAGATTTACTTTCCTAATTTTTTTTAGTTAGAGCTTTTACTAAAAGTATTTTACTTTGAGTTCACACTGACCACTGTAAACTATCATTGTTATTTACAGTTCTTGTTATTACTTTACTGTTATCATCACCCAGTAAAAGAGATGGTTCTGAAGCATAAAGACGTTTGTATAGTTATCACAGAGAAGCTACACATTAATAATTAAAAGTTGCTTGTATTCATGAATTCTGTGTAAGAGTTGATATGGTAATGTTTCCTTTTGCAGGACAGGTGAGCCATTTTATCTATGTTGCCTGGTGTTAATGTGCTTTGATGTTTTTAGGGATCTTGTCCATAGAACAGCTCATCAGCCGGGTAGGTGTGATTGGAGTGACTCTCATGGCTCTGCTTTCTGGATTTGGTGCTGTCAACTGCCCATACACATACATGTCCTACTTCCTCAGGTAATACACATTTGTCTCTTTCCTTTTCCCTCTCCATTATTTGAGTACATATGTCATACTGTGCTGCCACCCTCCTACTTACATGTCAGATCTGTCATAGTGCCTTTTTATCTTCTTCCTCTGTTGCTGTGAGTGTTGACTTGGAAACTTTCTAAGCACATCTTATCACTTATATTGCTTGTTTTTTGCCCTACATTCATTTTCTTTTAATGGAAAATTTTGTCCCCTCATCCCCACTTCCTAAAGGCTCATTTCTAGAAGGTAGCACTATGAACTCTTCCCAACTTCAGTAAATCAGTTCCTCCTGGAAGTAGAAGACAATGCCAGGTTAAAAGTATCTTTAAACTTACATCCTAAATGTCACTAGATCCAAGCGAAGAAAGAGTAAGAGAACAAGTTACCCTCTGCTCCTGTAAGACCTCACAAGAATCAGCCATAAGAAATATCAGTAAGAGCATTTTAGCTTATTATGGTCATTTTAATGTTTTCTAGAAAAGGCAGGTCCTTAAATTACTTGCTAATAATTGGTGGGAGACTTGTTTTTCAAGGTGATTTGTAACACACCCAAGGAGCCTAAAACTCTGCTAACAGTTTATACTTTTTGTAGGAATGTGACTGACACAGATATTCTAGCCCTGGAACGGCGACTTCTTCAAACCATGGATATGATCATAAGCAAAAAGAAAAGGTAAGAGCAGCACATTAAAGAACCCATATTCTGTTAGAATTTCTTAACAAAATTTGGCTATGAATTGGTGCTAACAGGTAATTTCATCTTGTTCTTTTTTTAAATTTTATTAGTACATGTTTGCAATTCATGCAGTTTGCAGTCACCTTGGGGAGTGGTTACATGTACATATTATAGTTTTTTTTTAATCTCCTTACCTCCCCTCATTTCTCCTCCTCAGATTCCCCAATCCCTTTTTTTATACTTATTGATACCGTTTTTCTTAGCTCATGTTATGGCATACAGTGTTTACAATAATTGGGGTTACTAGGGTCCTGTACATGGCACATCTTTATTGCTCTCATTTCCCCTTCTCAGCCCCCCACCCTTCTTTCTTTCCCTGTTGTAAGAGTTCTGTCCTTTTGTCCCTTTCTGTCCATCTTTTATCATTTTCTTTGTACTTTGCCTCACTCAAATGAGAGCTACCATACAGTATTTAAGCTTGTGAAATATGGTTTATTTCATGCAACACTATATTTTCCAGGTGCATCTTTTTCCTACATGTATCTCAACTATATCATTCTTTACTGCTGAGTAGTATTCCATTGTATATAAATGCCACATTTTCTTTATCCAGTCGTCTGTTGATTGTTACACAGACTGCTTCTAGGATTTAGCTATTACAAATTGTGCTGCTATAAACATTAGCATGCATGTATCACTGTAGTATGATGACTTAAGCTCTTTGGGAAAGATATCTAACAGGGGAATACCTGGGTCATGTGGAATTTCTAATTTTAGTTCTTTTGAGAAGTCTCCATATTGATCTCCATCATGGTTGTATTAGTTGACATTCCCACCAACAATGCAGGAGTGTTCCTTTTTCACCACAGCAACGCCAGCATTTGTTTTTGTTTGATTTCCTAGTGATTGCCATTCTTTGCAGAGTAAGATGGAATCTTAGCGTTGTTTTAGTTTGCCTTTCTGTAACAGCCAGAGATATTAAACATTTTTTCATATACTTGTTGACCATTTCTATTTCTTCCTCTGTGAGGCATCTGTTCATTTCTCTAGCCCATTTCTTGACTGGGTCTTTAATTTTAGGTAGTTTAATTTTTTTTAGTTCTTTGTATATTCTAGATATTAGTTGTCTGTCTGAGGAGTAGCTGGCAAAATTTGTTCTCATTCTCTAGGTGGTTTCTTCACTCTACCAATTCTTTTTCTGTTCAGAAGCTTTTTAGTCTGATATAATCTCATTTGTTGATTCTTGTGGCTATTTCTTGTGTGATTAAGGTTCTGTTTGACAATCCTTTCCTACACCTATGTCTTCAAGTGTTATACCTATTTTATCTTCCCAAAGGTTTAATGTTTCTGTTTTAGTGTTTAGATCTTTGATCCATTTTGATTTTAATGTAGTATATGGTGAGAGATAAGGGTCCTGTTTTATTCTTCTACAAACAGATAACCAATTTTCCCAATACCACTTGTTGAA